CGGAGAAAAACCAAAAAAAAAAAAAAAAAAAAAAACCATCTTCACAGTGGTGGTTCCTAAAAGCAAGCTCTCTGCTTGCTCTCTCTACTTCCTCACTTCCTTATCAATCCTCACTGCTCTGCAGTGGACTACTATTCCTGGGAGGTTACCGGGAAGACTCCTGCCTGCCCAATCTATTGCTCAGTCTGATTTCACTCAGTCCTCAGGCAATAGATGCCGTGAATGATATCACTGAATAGTCCTTTGTGGAAATGTCTCTCCTTGGCTTCTGATGCCCCTGTCTCTCCTTGGCTTCTAAGCACTCTGAACTAGTCAAAAAGGCAGTTCCGAATAAGAAACAGGGCCAAGCATGGTAGCACACACCTGTATTCCCAGCACTTGGGAGGCTGAGGCAGGAGGATTGCCATGAGTTTGAGGCCAACCTAAGCTACACAGTGAGACCCTGTTTCCAAAAAAAGAAGAAAAAGAAACAGGGCTGTGTATTATATATTTGTATTACACATATAATTGAGGACTTCTCTATGTCAGCTGCTGTCCTCAGTGCTAGTGAGCCTTAGTGAACAGTACAGACAGATATGATCCCCTGAGCACATTTGGGGGCCAAAGGCTACTTCATTAAGAGTTGGGTGGTGACTTGACCTCTTCTTACCACTCCCATCTTTCTGTAAATTATCATCTTCTGCAGCTAGAATTAAAAATAGCTCAAGCCTCTGCGTCTGATACCATGAGCTTTGGCTTTCAGCTCTCCCCTTGCCCCCTGGCCTGTCTCACAGAAGAGTTACTTTTGCTCACCTTCATCTATACACATAGCATTTCTGTTATATTCTCACTTGTCTGTCACCTTTATGAGATGACCTTCATGTAGATGCCAGTGGATGGGATCATACTTCTCTTGGTATTTCCAGGGACTGGAACAGTACGTGAAACATGGCAATCAATGAGTCTTCACTGGATGAAATCAAGTAATTTTTAAGTTAATTAACTAAAATGTTGTGATGGCACTTTTATTTTCTTGGTTTAGAACCTGAACTACAGAGATTATAATAAACATCAAAAAGATGTAGGAAATATTTCAACTCCTTTTTTTAAATAATATCCAGTGCGATTAATTTTGCAAATAAAGTTGGGCTACTCAAAATAGTTTTCATTCCCCCCTTTTTAGTGTGTTGGACTGGGAGTGACCTTAGATGAGCCTCCTCATTCCACAGATTAGGAACCCAAGGATCATGTAGTATCATGACTTGCACAGGGTAACATCCCTGGCTAGTAGCAGAACCCCACATGAGAATCTGATTCTTAGTGTTCTTTCCATTATTTCCTGCCATCTCTCAAATGTTCAAAACAAATATTCATGACATGCTTATTAGATATAAGATGGTAGGTTATTCTACAGGGAAGGTAGGGGTCAAAAATAGGCTCCCACCTTGAACCATTTCTATGGCCTAGCGAGGAAGCAAAACATGCATACAGAACACTGTGGGAAATATATGCAAAAAATAAAGTGCATGAAAAATCTATGAGGTGAGTTGGGGATGTGACTCAGTGGTACAGTGCTAGACTAGCATGTCCAAGGCCCGAGGTTTGGTCCTCTGCAACACACACACACACACACACACACACACACACACACACTCCATGAGGACTAGCTCCAACTTGAAGAACTGGCACATAACTTTGAGGTAAAGATGGTACCTTAACAGTGAGTCTCCCCTTTCTCTTCTAAGATACTGGTTATTGGTGTGTATGGGGACATCACATCCTCTACTGGTCTCAGAGGCCATTTCCAGTGCAGCTGGTGGAGCAGGAATGCTGCTGTGTGCTTACAGGACAGGCAAGGAACCGTGCCTATGCCCAGACCAATTGTAGGTTTTTTGAGCAGGGAGGAACCATGCTCAGTATTTGAGACACAAATTTACAATCTTATCTTTTCTTAATTGAAAATGTTCCTGAACAAGAGTTTTTGAGCCAAGAATCTTAGTCTGAAATTCTAGTCAATACAACTTGATTTTGTAAAACAACTCAAGAAATGCTCCGGATATTAAGTGATACAGGTCTGCAGAGAATAGCCTGTGGAATTAATGTGCTAATGAGGTACTAACACAGCTTTGCTCAGGATTAACACATTCAGGAGCCAACCAATTAACTGCCCTTTCTAATACCTCCCAGGCATTTTCTGAGTTCAGAACTTGGTAAAGCTGTAGTCTGTGTAAAGCTCAGCTCTCCTGTACTTTTTGTTGTTTGTTTTTTTATTGCTAAGTTTGAAGAGTAGGGAGGAGTTGAATAAAAGAATTGCCTTAAAGCTTGATGAGTGGCAAATCCCAGATTGAGTTATCTTGTCATTAAACTAAATATTGGTTATACACGTGCACAATCATGCACGTATTTGCTTAATATCATCCCAGTCTTTCAAAGATTCTTGCCCCCACTGGGGCTAGAGCAGAAGCCATGCTCTCTGGGCTGCGAGTATTCTATTTTTCCTACTATGCTGGCACTCACTTTCCTCTCTAATTAATACTCCTCTACCATGAAGAGCCCTTTACAAAGTAAAAAGAATATAAGAGTCTCTGGATCTAAACATTTAACAGTTGAGTCAGCCACAGATGCCTGAAAGGAGGAGCCTTTGGAAATATCACACCACATATATACTTCCATCCCTCTCTCCTTATGTTGAGTCCTTCCAAGGTCTCCAAAATATCCTTTCCTTTCATGAGGTTTTTCTCTTCTTTGAGATGTTTCACAGAACAAGGCTGGAAAAGATAACATCATAATATGCTTTCTATTTGCATCATTATGTAATGCTGCTCCATTCTCTTCCCCAGAAACCTCCTCCTCAAAAGAGAATACCTACCTTTCCTTCTGTAAGTCATTAAGTCAACAACCATGTGCTGAGTATAACCTTTTGTGTACCATCTACAGCATTAAGGAGGGCTGGAGAGGAAACGAGGTGCAAGCCCTGCTGGAACATCAGAGTTAATGATATCATCTCTCTCTTTTGCCTGTTGGAAGAAACTTTTCCAGTTTTATATTCTGTTTTCTAGACTATTGGGAGAAAAAGAGATGATTAATGAATATTCTAGATGCCTTCTTGTACTATCTATTCATCCATCACCCATCTATTCATCCGTCTGTCCACGCATCCACTCACTTCCAACACTTGAAGAGCCCTTCCAACATCTGAGACCCTCCTTTAAACTAAGCGCTGTGCCCTCTGACTTGCCCTCATACGTCAGGAACGTCCTACTGCAGAGGAGTGAGGCCACCTGATCAGACTACAACTAGAGTGTCACTGCAGAGTGGGAGCATATGCACAATGCAAGGGAATCAAGCCCACATTTTCCAGCAGCTGAGGCTGATTGTAAGTTAATTTATGGAACAGGTTTCTGTTTTTTGATACTGATTTTAATTCCCCTGGGTATATTTTCAAGGAAACTTAAAAATAGCCAAATTCAGAATCCAATTTGATATGTATAATCTTTGAATCCCTTAGAGGCATCTTCTGGTCTTTGCATTTCTCCACCTTCCTTCTTTACCTTCAGGCACCTGACCTCCTCTTAGGCAAGCCGTGGTCTGCTCCCTTTGTTCAGCTCACCGAGTGTTTTTCCTTCCAATCCACATCCCCACACATGACAGGAGACATTTCAGGACCCCAGAGAGCCTGGGCTGGCAGAACACATTGACATGTGGGAGTGTGAGAGGCAGTCTTTCAGAGAAAATAAAGAGAAAGAGGTAAAAATGGCAGACAAGGGAGTAGGAAAAACAGAGGGAAAGAGGACGAGGCAGAGAATGAAGAAGAAAGAAAAGCAGCTCCACTCATAATCAGATCTCTAGGATTCTTAACGCTAAGCAATTTCTGTAACTGGGAGTCGGGTTTATGAAAGGGCTGGCAGTGACAGTCCTTCCAAATACAGGAATGAGGTGGAGCAGACTTGCGGGAATACCAGATGACCTGGCTCACTTGAGGAGCCCTGTCTCCAAGGGTGACTTCCAAGTGATGAACTGGGCGTGTGATGGGGGGAGAAAACCCTCCCAGCACCCATCGTACGTTGCTTTTGAAAATTATTATTTTGGAGCACAAGCTGTTTCCTGTCTTTAAAACCTATTATCTATTTCCCTTCCAGGTGGAGCCTGGGTTGCCTGCTAATTTAATCCCCTGGGCTTCCCCTCTGCCTTCAAGAGCTCACAGACATTCAGGCTTCATAAAGAGGGCACCTTTTTGTCTTGTTCCCCTGAAGGCCCCCTTCCACCCTGGCAGCAGAGGAGATGCTATTTTAGGAAGCAGCCACTGAGTAGGGAGAGTTGTTAATTGTTTGTCAAACCTTCCCAGTGTAGTTAGATCTCGTGGAGAAAAAAAGGAAAAAGTAAAATAAAAGAGCAAAGCCATAGCCTTTCCTTCACGCTATTTTACTCTCTCATCTGTAAGAGGGGAGGGGAGGAAGGGTTCCTTTTCCTCCTCTGGCACAGACACATACACTCATATTTTAAAATAATAAACCTAATTCTACCCAATCAGAAACACATAAACAAACATAATACTGGCTCAGCAGCTAGTCAAAATAGTTTAAAAATCACTTATAAGCCTCAAAAACAAAACAAAACAAAACAAACACGAGCAAATAAAATTCCCAGTCATAACTGAAAAGAGACAGCAGGGGCTCTGCCACCCATTCTGACCACAGCATTTACTCAAACCACTGACTAAGCAGACCCCGGCACTACCAATGCCCCACTGATACATACGAAAACAATCCTACCCACGCACACCAGTCAGAACACTCCTGGTGACACGCACTCAGGGACAAAGGCACAGTCAAACAGAAAATGACCCAGACTGAGAAAAAGCCATGTGGGACTCTGATCTCAGCAGCTCTAGTGACTCTGAAACTTTCTAAGCCCTAGATTAGCTGGAAGGGAAGGGGGATGGCTGAGAACCAAAATCTGATGTTTCTTAAAAGGGCAATGCCACCAGTCAGAGCTAGTTAGTTTTTTCTTCCTTGACTAATTCTCCTATGAAGGAATGTCTCTTCTTATTTGTTTTTAAAGGACATTATTTTTGTAACCATAATCTTTGGTATTCTCAGGAAACACTGAAAGGAATTATCTTTTATTAATAGAGGAGTTGGACTTAGAGAACTTTCTAAGTGATCGTGGTAAAGGGAAGGACATGAGTGCTCTATTTTACAGTCATGTTTCCCCAGAAGAACTCAGATTGCCATATAAACATAAGTCTACTAATCCACACACTCACTCATGTTGCACTGCAGATCCAAAATTCCCTTTTATACTGGGGGAAGTGTCTGTATAAATACTTACTCAGAATTTGCTTAAGCAAAATGAGCAAAGATGGGTTCGTGGTAGGGAGTTTTTTGAACTGAATGAGCATTCATCTTAGAATAGAGATCAGCTGGGTTATTTAAAATGGACTTGAACGATGAATGAGAATGTGTACTATTAGCTGCAACAGGTGGAATGGGGGAGCTAGATTTTCTTAATGGCTGAGACATGTATTGGTTGCCCTTACACTTGGTGCAGACACCCAGTAGGTGTCTGTACATCACTAACCCAGTGGTCTATGTCTAGTAGAACAGAGTAAGCAAGCTACTACTTTCTTGGTAGTAAATCACACATTTGTAAACTGCATGGCAGAAAAAAGCAGTCTGCGTAAAATCAACTTGTTGTTACATGAAAGATAGCTTTTATAGGGAAATGATATAACATAGGGTCATGAGCAATTATGAGGTACTGTAAGATAAAATGTATTTGTGGTGATGAATTGAGCCTATAGCCTTTGCACTGAGCTATCCTCAGCCCTATTTTCTTTTTTATTTAGAAACAGGGTCTCATTAATTACTAAGTTGCCAGGTTGGACTCAAACTTGCAATTCTCCTGCCTCAGCCCTCCAGAGAGCTGGGATTACAGGAGTACACCACCATGCCTGGCTCCATGGTGTCCTCTTTTATATGCTCTAGTTGGTTGTGTTTACATATTTTAGTGCAAATTTGGGGAATACATTAATTAATTTGTTTATCAAATAGTTATTTATCCCAATTCACTCATAGCAATATTCAGGGCGCCAAGGATGGTGGAGGCAGGATGCAAAAAAGGGCATCATAGCATCTCTCAGCCCTTTATAATGTTACAAGGAAAGAAGTACTATATTCACAAAAAGTTAAATGAATAATATATGAGTAAATGACATAGAAGACAGAAATATAAGGTGGTATCACAACTGCTAGATTGTAAGAAAGTATGTATATATAAGTGAGTGGAGTATAAACACCAGCAGTCATGAAGTCTTCCTAAAAGTTATGCTTCACAGTGTGCAGAATTGGGACAGGAGGTGAGAGGGTATTTTGTTGAGGAAACAGAAGATGAGATATATGCTATGTGTGTGTGTGTGTGTGTGTGTGTGTGTGTCCGTGCATGCATGCTTTTGCGTATATGATAGAAAATGAATATCCTTGGCTCTGAACATGCTGTACATGTGTTATACCACTGAGCTATATCCTTATCCTAACAGATATACTTTTGACTACATCTGTCTACTGGGAAAGAGGTGGAACATTTACATTTCTCAGGGTCATAAGAAGGTTTTAACCGTTTACTTAGATTAGAAATTTAGATCTGAAATGATCCTAAAACAATGATCTAGGCCACCAGTTCTCAAGCTTGGCTGCACAGTGTAATTACGTATGGAACTTTAAAAACTTCTAATGTTTGGGTGTCACTCCAGAGACTCTGAAGTGATCTGGTAGGGCCTGGGTGTCTGCAGGTTTGAAGGCTCCCTAGGTGATTCTAATGTGCAGCCATCTTTTGAGGAGTACTGATCAAATCCAACGTCCCATTTTTACAAGTGAAGGATGGCCTCACCATTTGTCCATACACAGCTAGTGAGAACTGCCAGGACCCCCAGCTGAGCTCCAGCTCTGTTCACTGTTCTCAGCAATTTGTCTTTGACAATGTATTGTGTAGTATTCTGGACATCAGGCCAGAGAATTGAATTTGTGCCATAAAGGTCATGGGTAGCCATTGAAGATTTTTCTTGTGTGTGTGTGCATGCACAAGAAGATGGCACATAAGAAATAAATGACCCTGCAACTTTCATGTGGACAACAAAATTGAGAATAAATGCACGCTAACAGCCCAGGAGAATAATGTTATCCGAGTGAGTATTTTCTCTTTCTCTCTGAAATCTGTTTCCATATTTGCATTTTGTTTTGTTTTTTTTTTTTTTTTGGTTTTTCTCTGGTACCGGGAACCAAACTCACGACCTTGCACTTGCCAGGCAGGCACTTTGCTGCTGAGCTAAATCCCCAGCCCCGCATATTTGCATTTTGAATTAAAATATAATATCATGATAATTTCTTTGTCATTGTATCCAGATAAAAAGAACTGTTGCTTCTCAGGCTTTTGTGATTTCTCAGTTCTAGAAAGAACTTTCTTCTAGCCAGTTAGCTGTTTTCAACACTTTTATTTGATTTTCTTCTTACCTCTACAAGTAACTGTTTTGTGTTCGCTTCCTTTTTACTTTATTTTTTCCATCCTTTTCCTCTTCTGCAGTCAAGGATATCTGTTAATTGCCCTCAATATGGTCATGTATATTTATACGTCCACACCTCTCTTATCCTTTTCTGTCCCTAGGGCAGTGCTGTCCAATAGAAGTGTAACTCAAGCCACACATATACAAAGAAACTAGACAACTTAATTTTAATGTCATTTTATTTAATCCAATACATCCAAAATTGTATCATTTCAATATGTAATGGTTATAAAGATGTAATGAGATATTCTACATTCTCTTTTTGATACTAAGTCTTTTAAATATGCTGTGTGCACAACTCTTGATAATCTCCTACCTCTTTTGTCTCTAACGCACTATTATTTGTCTATTTGTTTTCCTGAGAAACTATTTTGTAGATAATAATATGTAAAACGATAACCATTGATAATTTCCTACCATTTTGTCTGTAATATGCTAAGTCCCCCCTACTATTATGTTATCCTTGTTTTACTCTTTAAAATAAAAAAAAAATAAATATGCTGTGTGCATTTTACACTTAAAGCACACATCAGTTGGGACTGCTAGGTTTTCAGCCTTCAAAAGTTTGGCACAGTACAGTTGGGTCTTAGGAAAAACATTTACCTTGCTTCAATTTTTAAATTAAAATTTACAAAATTAAATGTAGTTCCTTCATTGCAGTGGCTGCTATTGAACAGTATGAGTGCAGGGTTTCATGTGGTAGTGTTTTCTCATTCTATAGCTTGAGTGGATGCTAGTGAGGCTTGTTTTAACGAGTTTGACTATCCAATTTATTGAGGAATTTGTTTTCCTTGGGAGTCTTAAAGGAGGCAGGGTATGAAAAGATCATAAAAAAGTAAGGTTCTCTGAACAAAGATATAAAATTTAAGAGAAGAAAGATGAGGATGTAAGTTAGGAAAATGAGGGAGCAGGGGGTAAAGCTTTGGCACCCATTCCTAGCCCAGTGCTATTTGAATATAAAGAAATTCTGCAGAAATCAAGCAGCCAAAGGGGAAAAAAGGTATAAAATATCCAAAATAGTGAGAGATAAAGGGATGAATTTAAAAGTGGATTTCTTTTCTTCTCAGAAAAGATTATTACTTAAAGTGCTAGTAATGTACATTTATAGAAACAAATAGTCTTTTATAGAGTAGTTTAAATATTCTTATAAAGAATTCAGGCTGTCATACAAATGATTATTCAATTGCACAAGTAACTTTGGCCAAAAATTTTCCAAATGTCCTCATCTTGAAAGGTAGGGACAGCATAGACACCATGTTCTTCACCTGTCCTCTCCTTTGTAACTGTTATTGCTCACATAGCTATCAGGCATAGCACGCATGGTGGGTTTGTGTTTGCATTGTTGTCATATACACTAGATGCAATTTAAGGCAATATATATTCTTTAATCATGTGATACTAACACTTAACCTTCAATTAATCATGCAAAGGAGGTCAACCTTGAGGGTGGTAAAGTCAGTGGCGGTGGGCAGAGAGCCCTGTGCTCAGAGGCTTCTTTAGGCCCCATCCCAGATCCTTCCTATGAGGTCTCAGACATTCATGGAACAGACAAGTTAGTACAGGGAACATTAACTAGTGGATATAGAGTGGAAGGACAGAACAGACCTTATGGAGATGTTGTGGCTACTGCTTCCACAGCAATTGCTTCCTCTGCTTTCTCTGACGCCCCCTGGGTTATGATCTTCTACCAGGTCTTTCTTTTTTTTAGACAGAAAATCTCGGGGCTGGGAATTTAGCTCAGCGGCAAAAGCGCCTGCCTGGCATGCGCAAGGCCGTGAGTTCGGTTCCCGGTACCGGAGAAAAACCAAAACAAAAACAAACAAAAAAAAAATTAGACAGAAAATCTCAAACATTGATGACCACAAATTCTTTGTTATCTGCTTGCTAAAGTTTAGAAGAATATGTTCCCTATTTCTTTTTTGGTACTACAGGTAATTTTCCTGATCATAAATATCCAGGCCCTCCAGAGATGAATTCTAAAGATTTCATTTTGTAAACTCAGGGTTTGAGGGAATTCTGGTGATAAATGCTATATTGTGCAGTTTCAAGTCAGCAGACAATTATATAGTACCCATTATGTGGCATAGTACACTGGTGCTGTAATAACAACTGTAACAGCAATAACTAAGATTTAATAAGTACATATATAGTATTATAGACTGTATTAAATTATGTATATATTTATTTGTTTTAAGTACTAGAGATTGAATCCAGGGCCTTCACACTGAGCTATGTCCCCAGCCCTTTTTAAATTTTTTATTTTTTGAGAGAGGCTTCTACTAAGTTGCTGAGGTTAGGTTCAAATTTGCAATCTTCCTGCCTCAGCCTCCCAATTTTAAAGGTATTTTTATCATTCTCATCTTACACAATAAACTGAGGCATAGAGAGAATGTATAACTTGGCCACATCATGAAACTAGGACACAGTTTTTCCATTTCACCTAGAGGTAAATAACTTCCCAAGGTCACACAGAAAGTAAGAGGTAGAGTCAGGCAGTCTAGCTCAGAGCTCTACACTCAAGCTTTAAATAAACTCGGAGTTGAATCTCACCATTGCCTCTCACAGTTGTACAACTTTGAGAAATTTATTTAACTTTTCAGAGTCCCAGTTTCCTCATCTGTAATGAAGATAATGATACCTAGTCTCAGGACTTTACAAAGATGCTAAAGGATGTAAAGTAACTATCCCAGTACTCAGAAGACATTATCATTACTAGGGATCCATTCATCCAAGTGCAACACTGTTCCCACTGGCATGGCCACTCTAGTTATCAAAATATTGAGGTGCTTCCATGCCAGTTGAAGGAACTTCCCCAGCTCCATGAGCACCCCTTTTCCTGCCACCCAGCTACTCCTGCAGGAGCCCTCCATAAAGCATGGGATTGTAAGGGTCTCCAGAGCCCTGCCCTGATGGTTAGTAGCTATGTCTCACTTGATAAATATTTTCACTATATTCTGCCTCCAGATACAAGACAGCTCCTGCCTTTAATGAATGTTCAGTCTGGGAAGGACACTGCGCATGACAGGAAAATGCTGTGAGGGCAGTGATGAAGTATAATCTGTACAGTAGCAGATGGTGGGAGACTTCAGCTCAAGGGGATCAGAAAGTTTCATGGGAGGCAAGAGGCCGATGCTGTCAATAACCTGTGCAGTTTAATTCTCAGTACCAAAAAAACCCAAACAAAACCTGTGCAGGTGAGTGCGTGAGGGCATCCCTGATCATCGCTGAAGTTCCTTTTGTCTCTCAGTATTTTCATTTTTGCTACCTCCACCTAGTTCATTCCTTCATGACCCTTTGCCTAATTGCTCACAAGAGCTTTATAATTAAGTGATCTTCAGTCTACCAAATGTTCTAGCATCCATTTGCAGTTATTTTACTCAAGCTTTAGTAGGTCCCTGTGGCCCTATCTCCTCATTGAGGCTTCCAGTACTGGGGGACTGAATCTAGGGGCTTCACATTGAGCTATGTCTCTCCTACTTGCTATCATGCAGCCCCAGCCTAATTTTCTAGCATCTTTCCACTGACTTTGGGTACATTCCTGACACATTTGCTAAGTGAGATGTTCTCCATACCAGACTCTTGTTCCCCTCAGGGGTTTTCAATGCTTTCCTCAGCTACACTTCTTTGGTAAAACTTTCTCCCATTTATGTCTCTTCTTTCTCTATCCTCTTTTCTCACCCCAAGATCAATGTTCTCATAACTAAAGTATATTAATACCTTCCTATATGCCAGGTGCTGGTCTAAGAGTTTGGCGTGTCTTACCTCACAAAATCTCTAAGAGGTACAGTACTGCTATTATTTCTGTACTCAGATGACAAAGACTGAGGCAAAAAGAAGTAACCCTCCAAAGGCACTCCACAAGTAAGAGGTGGAGCTAGGACTCCAACCCAGGAAGCCTGTATTATCTACTGGTGATTTATAGTGACCCAAAGCTCTCAAAGAAAGAGAAAACAGGAAAAAACAAAAAACAAAAAAAAAACCTCACAACCTTTTCATGATATTACTCAACATATGATGCTCGACTTTGTAATTATTCTTGTAATTATTGTATCTCCTTTTCTATGTGGGTTGAAAATTCCTAGAGGGGAAGAACTTGAGGTTTCATAGCCCGTGCCTCAGTTACCAGCAGTAAGTTGCTGACAAAGGTAACATTACTGAGCCACCACATTCTCCAGAGACAGCCTGTGAACCATGATGAAGCCCACCTTTCACTAGTGTATCTTCTAAGTAAATATACTGCTTGGTACAGGCTAAACTGTGGTGAGTTCGCACTTCGGACATATTCTGAGAATGATCAACAGAGGAACTGCACTGGTGACTGACCACAAAATTTTGGAACAACCTTTCCCTACATTTTACCTTCACACAAAAAGAAAATTGTGGTATCATTATGGGAACTCAGGACTTCTCTTATTTGTATTTTTAGAACTCTAGACTTTCCCAAGAGTAGTCAGCTTTTGTGAAGAAAAATCACGGTGGAGAAACACGTTCCATTTAATCTACAGGGCAACTGGGTTTGTTCTAGAATCTAGAGAACAAAATGAGAATCAATAACTGTACACAGACACAGTTCCTTGGTAAGAAGCCAGAAACAAGTTCCAGAACCTTCTTTTCCTTTGTGGTAGGAATTGTGATGCTAAGAATGTGTGTGACCCTAGCGGGCAGGGAGGCTCACCCAAAGTTAATATCTGCCAATACCTTGTAGAAATACTACTTGTTCTTGCGGGGAGTATCTATCCCCTGCTGGGCAGTGCCACCAATTCCATTTCTGCCGGCTTTGGTCTGGGGTTTCAGGAGTGTGCATTTGTAAATGGAGGCGGGGCGGGCCTGCCCAAGCAAGGATCAGGACTTTATTGCAGAGCAGAGTCCATCATCATGCTCAAATACAAAGTTCAAATGGTTCCCTTCGCTTTGGTTCTGGCAAGGAAGCAGAGAGCCAGAATCTTGATACATAAACCAGACTGTGAGCCCGACTCCCCCGCATCGCCCTCGACCCCAAACTCGACGGTCGCCCCCTTTAAGAGCCTGCTCCGCGGGACTAACTTTCGAACAGGTCCGGGCGCCCCTCCTCGACCTCTGATTGGTTGCACGCAGCGCACGAGGGCGCGGCGGTCAGCCCGGAACGGTTGGCCGCGCTTCGTGATTGGCGTTCAAGGCGCCTATATAAGGCGCGGGGCGGCCCCACTGCCCTCAGTTTAGCGACCGGACTGGAAACTGGGCTGTAGTGGTGGTTGAGAGCGTCAGCGGGCAGCGTGCGTCACCGGGTCGCCTCTCCTCGGAGCCCTCCGCAGGCCAGGGTGCACCCCGCGGCGGACTTATCTACGCCCTCCCTTCCCTTCCGGGCTTCCGAACGTTAGCCGGGGCTCACCCGCGTCACCCCGGCGCCAGCCGGGCGAAAGGGAGGCAGGATGGAGTTCAAGCTGGAGGCGCACCGCATTGTCAGCATCTCCCTCGGCAAGATCTACAACTCGCGAGTCCAGCGCGGCGGCATCAAGCTGCACAAGAACCTCCTGGTCTCGCTGGTGCTGCGCAGCGCCCGCCAGGTCTACCTGAGTGACCCGTGCCCCGGCCTCTACCTGGCGGGTCCCGCGGGGAGTCCGACGCCGCAGCCCGGGGAGCCGGCGGCCCAGCCACCTGCGGGTTGGGGAGAGCCGCCC